AAACCATTCAAATCAAATATACTGCTTTGGTGAATTATTACAATGCCAATAACACCCAGGTTAAGAAATAGAACTTTGTCAGTCACTCTTTTTTTTTTAAGTATATTTTATTGATTATGCTATTACAGTTGTCCCATTTTTTTCCCCCTTTGTCCTCCTTCACCCTTTCCCTTTCTCCCTCCAGCATTTCTTCTCCCTTAGTTCATGTCTCTGGGTTGTTCATGTAAGTTCTTTGGCTTCTCTATTTCCTACACTATTCTTAACCTCCCCCTGTCTATATTGTACCTACCAGTTATGCTGCTTATTCCCTGTACCTTTTCCCCATTCTCCCCCTCCCCCTGCCCACTGATAACCCTACATGTGATCTCCATTTCTGTGGTTCTGTTCCTGTTCTAATAGTTTGCTAAGTTTTTGTTTTTTGGTTTTTTTTTTAGATTTAGTTGTTGATAGTTGTGAGTTTGTTGTCATTTTAATGTTCATAGTATTGATCATCATCTTTTTCTTAGATAAGTCCTTTTAACATATAAACATAGTTTTCTTTTTTAGATACTATAGTTGGTTTTAATAAACATAAAAACATTTTTATTGAGAGAGAATTTTATGCCATAAAATTAACCTGTTTCAAGTATACAATTCACTGGTTTTACTAGATTCTCAGAATTGTACTCCCGTCACCATAATCTAGGCTGAGAGCATTTTCATCACATCGGAAAGAAACCGAAACCCATTCGCACTCACTCCTCATCCCCATCCTCCCAGTCTCCCCAGTCCTGTCAACCATTGGTTCACTCTGTCTCTGTGGATTTGTTTACTCTGGTTTTCATATAAATCATGTCATACAGTACAAGGTCTTTTGTGTCTGACCTCTTTCAATTTAGTACAATGTATTTGAGGTCTGTTCATGATGTGGTATGTATGAGTGTTTCAGTCCTTTTGATTGCTGAATACTAGTCCATTGTATGGGTCCGCTACATCTGTTTATTTCATTTTTACTTCTTAAAAGCAAAAGTTAACTTTTTTTAAATTAAAATTTAATTTTTCAGTAAGAGTTTACATTCAGCAATATTTTCTATTAGTTTCAGGTATACAGCTTAGTGGTTAGACAATCATGTACTTTACAAAGTGTCCCCCTAATGTTTCCAGCACCCGGAACCACACGCAGTTACAGTATTATTGACTGTATTCCCTGTGCTGTAATTTGCATCCCTGTGACTATTCTGTAACTACCAATTTATGCTTCATAATTCCTTCACCTTTTTCACCCAGTCCTCCAACTTCTCTCCCCTCTGGCAACCAGTAGTCTGTTCTCTGCATCTATGAGTCTGTTTCTATTTTGTTTATTTTTCTCTTTAGATTCCAATATAAGTGAAATCATGTGGTATTTGTCTTTCTTTGACTGATTTATTTTACTCAGCATAATACCTTCCAAATCCATCTAAGCTTTTGCAAATGGTAAAATTTTAATTTTTATGGCCAAGTAGTATTCCATTGCATATAAGTACCACAGCTTTTTCATACACTTTTCTGTTGGTGGGAACCTGGGTTGCTTCTATACTTATGGAATATTTTAAATTCCTTCATCAATTGCTGGACATCTGGGATTTTTTCACTTATTGGCTATTATAAATAATGCTGCTATGAACAGTGATGGACAAATCTTTGTGAAGATGTGTGTTTCCATTTCCCTTCAGTGTGTGTTTAGTAGTAGAATTGCTGGATCAAATGGTACTCTATGTTTTAACCTTTTAAGGAGCTGCCAAACTGGTTTTGTAAGTGGCTCTACCATTTTTCATTCCCTTGCCTTGCCGGCAATATATATAGCACTCTAATTTCTCTATATCCTCATCAGTATTTGCTAAATCTCTCATTTTGATTATAGCTATCCTAATGGTTGGGAAGTATGGTCTCAGTATCAAATTGACTATAAATGTATTGTAGTTTTCATGGTTATGATGTTGAATATCTTCTCATGTTTATTAACCACTAATAAATCTTCCTTAGAGAAATGTTTATTCAAATTCCTTGCCCATTATTTACATTTTAATTAAATAATTTTAAAAATCTTTTCATTAATGAATTACAAGGGTTCTTTATTATATTCTTTATATGGTTTTCAATTATTTACTCCCATTCTGGAGTTTTTTTTTAATAATATCATTTGCAGCACAAAATATTTTAATTTTGAAGTAGCCCATTTTATCTATTTTTTCTTCTGCTACTTGTGCTTTTGTTATCTATTTAACAAACCATTACCTAATGCTAAAGATTTACTTCTGTGTTTTCTTCTAAGAGGTTTATAGTTGTAGTGCTTACACTGACATCTGTGGTTTTTAGTTAATTTCAGAGTTTAGTATAAAGAAGATGTCCAACCTAATTTTTTTGCATGTTGTCCCTGTACCTTTTGTTGAAAAGACTGTACTTTTGTCCATTAAACTGTTTTGGCTAACATTGTTGTCAAAATTGACCAGAAAAGTAAGAGTTTATTTTTCACTTCCATTCCATTGTTTTACTTGTTTACATTTATGACAGTTCATACTGCGCAACTATATAACAAGTATTGAAATTGGGTTGTCTGACTATCATTTCTGTTCTTTTTTAAGTTTGCTTGGCTATGTATGTGAGTTTTAGGAACAACTGGCATGATGAAGTTTTTTCTTATTCAACATTCTCTTTGCCACAGAAAACATTCTAGTTCAGTTTTTTTAACTAGTGTGTGTATGTTTTTAAATATTTATAAATTTCACTTGGTAAATGGCACTTCTTTGGTGGATGCAGTTGTGTAATATGTTTGCTTCTACACCGATTGTTAGTATATTATTAAAGTTTATATGGCACAGTTGTGAATATGAATCACAAGTCCATTTTAATTTTTGTTCCATAATTTTTTAATTAATATGAACATTGTTTTTTACTGTGATGCTGTGCTTGAACAAAATTTGTATTGGCACTGTGAAAACAAAGACAATCTATCTTCATTATTCACAGATTCCATTTTGCAAATTCTAGTTACAAAAATATATTTGTAATGCCAAAATTTGTACTCATGCTGCTTTTATAGTCATTCATGGACATTTGTAGAGTGAGACAAAAATTGGATTGCTTAACACATGTTTCCAGCTTAGGTAAAATATACCAATTCTCTGCCTCCTTTTTTCAGCTCTAATACTGTAAAGTACCGTCTGCCTAGTGCCACATTTTTTTGCATGTTTATGTACTCGTTGATGATTTCCTTGTTTAAGATAGTGCCCAGGCACAGTGCTGAAGTGCTGCTGTATGTTGTTCCTAAGTACCAGAGGGCTGAAATGTAATGTATTTTACAGAGAAAATGCATTTTAAGTAAGTTTCATACAGGCAGGAGTTAGTACTATTGACTGTGAGTTCAATATCAGTGACTCAATAATATATATTAAGTAAAGTGTCTCTAAGCAGAAATGCAGGTAAAATAAGGTTATGTTTGGTCAGTTGATGAAAATGTTGTGGCCAAAGGCTCACAGAAACATAACTCTGTTTCTTCTAAGAGCAATGGTTTGGTTTTGCTTTATAGAGCTTAATTACTTTCAATAATGAAAGCTGACTGTAATTTTATCTTTGTTGTTGAACTTTTTAACTGAGTTTAAATAGCAGTTACAGCAACGTCAGGTGTTTCATGTTCTACAGAATGAACTTCCAAAAGCGTTCCTTTGATTCCCTGAATTGTATAAAAACAATCAAACCATTATTGGAATTAACTGATTTTCTAGTTGATGTATCTCCTGACACTGATAGGAAGCTGGCATCATTTAAGTGTGAATTTCTTCTGCTAATAGAGCCAACAGAATAACAGCTGCCGTTTAACTTTGGCTGTTTAAACAAGATAATTTGTAATCAGAGTTGACTAAGATAAATTTAAAGAACAGTCATTTGATCTCGTTGAAAAGTCATGCTTTATAAAGTTATATGTAAAACATTTTCTCCATATGGTTTTTGTAATTGGTGTCTTCAAGCTAGTCAGAAGCAGGGGCAGCAGCATTGAATATTTCTTACAACTTTATCCAAGAATGAAGTCAACTTGGCTGTTCCTAGCTACTCCTGAGTGACACTTTTTCTGTAAGTGGCTTTGAGGATAAAGTTACAGACCATCCAGAGATGGGATACTGCTCAGGGCCTTTTAGAGTTTTTTTAATTGAATTTATTAGGGTGACATTGGTTCACAAAACTGTACAGATTTCAAGTGTACAACTCAAGAAAACATGGTCTGCACACTGCATCATGTCCCCATTGCCCCAAGCAAAGTCTTTCAGTTTCCATTTTCCTCCTTTTTGCTCCCCTCCACTGACCCCCCTACCCCCTTTTCCCTCTGGCTGTCACCACACTCCACACTGGTGTCTGTGTTAGAATGGGTTCACTGCACATACGTCTCACACTCACTGCTCAGGTCATGGCAGAGCCTGGAAGTGAAAGTCCTGGCCTGTTATAATGCTACTGTTAAAAAAAAAAAAAAGCATCTCTAGAAAGTGGAAAATCCAAGACAAATGACAAATTGTTGGGACAATGGGCATACATTGGGACTCTCTCCGGCAAACTGTTACACATGGACACTTGACCAGACACATTTTTTCAAAAATCTCCTAACCCCAAACTTTTATATTTTTCCATAAGAAAGGCTGTACCCTCAATATGATTCACTTGTTTATGGCTATTTAGTAATTTCCACAGCATTATGCACATGGAAAAAATGTGAAGCATTCTTCTTAGTTTTATTCATTGTGGCCTTTTTTCCTAGAACATTTTCTATTTATCTTAAAACTTTGATTAAATTTCACATACCTGTATTTTTAAAGACATGTGATTCACATATGGAATTATTCTCCCTTAAATTAGTTCTTTTGGTATCTTAATAAAAATATTATACAGTAATTAAAAGTAAAATTTGGGAATGAAAGGAAAGCAGTTTTTACATATATTTGATAAAAAGGAATTATCTGAATAGAATTATAATAATACTTTATATTCTATTACAGGAGTAATTAAAAGGATTTACCATATATGTTACAACTTTTTACTGGAGTCTTGAGAGATAGGTAAGTGACAAGCATTTTTTGAAGCGATATTTCTGAAACATTAAATAATCTCATCTAACAGGTTCCTAATAAAGTAGGCAATGGGTCATAACTTAATTCAGTGATTTAAGAGAAACGTTATATTTATATCAATCTTAGTGTAACATTCCCTAATATCCAATAAATCATATTTCACAGGGAGCTATATTTTCTATAATAATTATGAGGTCATTGTTAATAAGACACACAAGTTTAGCAGGTTCTAAAACTTAAAGCACTAAAAGAAAAAATATCATTAAATGCAATGTGGTACCCTGGATTAGATCTTAGAACTGAAAAAAAAAACCAACAGGTTAAATCCAAATAAAGTCTGTAGTTTGTGTAATGTGCCAGTGCTAGTTTCTTACTTTTGACAAAACCGTGGCTCTGCAAGGTGTCACTGCAGGTGAAACAGTGAAGGGTGTATAGGTGCTCTGTAGTTGCTTTGCAACTTTTCTGTCAATCTAAAATTACTCCAAAATAAAAGTTTATTTAAAGCAGAAAAATAAATAATAGAGGTTTATTGATTTGAAATTGTAGTTTACAAGTGACTTTTCGTGTAGTAGTCTGAAAATCAAAATAATTATGCTTTGCAAATTGAGACTTCATGAAATGGAGACGTAGGGAACTATGCTGCGACTGTAGGTTTTGTTTTCCAGTTCCTAGGAGGCGTGGGGTCTCCATTTGTGGACCTTGGCATGGCGTCTGTGAACGTCTCCTCGTACTCGGCCACAGCTTTGCTCTGAGTCCTTTAAGCTGCTTGTGTGTTCTCTGGTAGTTTAGTACAGCACTATCTGTTAACACAAGCAGGCCCTTTAAATGTTCCCAGAACACTGCTTTCTTTCTTTTCTCTTCTAAATGTACTGTTAAAGGCAAAAAGACCAGTAATGTGACTCAGTGGTTTGGAGTTGAGACCCTCTTAATACAGTTTTCTTCAGTCACACTTAGTTGAGCTTCTAGGTCAAGTACTAGATACAGATGACCTGTTGTTAAAGGGTATGAATAAAGATGAACAGAACTCTTAAATAGCCATTTCTGTAATTGAGCTAAAATAATTGATTGCTGTCAGATAATAGAAATTCTCAATTTCCAAAATGAACTCTAGCAGTATAACTCTTTTAAATTTCTATAAATATTAAAAGACTGTAAGAAGGGAACTCTAGTTTGCTGAAACTATTACATAACTTTTCATTAATAAAAGTAAAATAGCCATGCTGGCCTTATAAATGGTTTCCTGCTTCTGTTGCCAACTTAATGATTTTAGTTAAACTTAAATTTCATAAAAGGAAATAGAAATATATTATACTTAAAAAATGTAGATGTTTAAAACAAGCAACCCAGGCCTGAATGACTCTTGCAGAATAATTGTTAGGCTTAGAAAGTTCTGTTTTGCTTGATATTCATTCAGAATTGGTATTATCAATCTCATCCTTACTTCTCAGTTGTGTAATATAACTGGCAAACCTTGGAGAAGTGTAGAAAAATGGCGGACAGGTTTTTCAGGACAAGTTTAAGTTTTACTGATTATATACCAGTTCACACATTAAAAAACAACAAAACAAACCTTTTTATTACTTTTCTTTGCTAGCAGAGCATTAAAAGTGTTGCCGTTAGAGACATGCTTTACCATTTAACCAACTGGCCGTCCTTTTATGGTCATCTGAAGTATAAATGAGAACAGCTAATAGTGTTCAGCACTCCCTATCTTCCAGGCACTTTATTTACAATGATCTTATTTAGTCTTCACAAGCACCTATGAGATAGCTTAGAATTCCCTTTATAGTTGGGGCTGAGAGAGTGGCGGATGTCCCCAGGCCAACCCTGAGGGTATGGGGCCAGAAGAACAAGTGCCCGGGGCGGAAGAACAAGTACCTGTGGTGGCACGACCTCCAGTTTGGTTCTCAGTGTCACCAGCTTCCAGGAAGCCCTGGATCCGTGGACATGTGGTTCAACTTCAGATTGCTTCAACTCTTCTCCGTAAAAAAGGATGTCTGATCACACTGGGGAACCTAGAGCAGGTTTTCCCCTGGGGGAACTACTCTGGAGCACAATCTCCTGTTCTCTATTCTAGTCTTGATCTGGCTCGTTCTGCAGTTCCCTAACACGTCAGTTGTTCTCTGTCACCCGATTAATTGCAATCACTCATTTATTGTATGCTTCATTGATCCTATGCCAAGAACTTCTGGCAACTCTGGGGAATATGATCTCCATGTGCCTCTTGGTCAGAGTTTGGCAACTAGAAGTTGTTAGTTTGGGTGAGAACTTGGATACAGGAGCTAAGACACATGCCAGAGACTAGAGGTGGAATAACGAGCAGCTGACACGTGAAATGCAGCTATCCAGACGCAGTCAGTGGGCAGCAGTCAGAATAGAATAGGCATATGACTTTGAAAGGTGGTTTTTGAAGAAGGTTATGGTGACTGGCTATAGACTTGGTAGTTTGTAGATGTAAAATAATTTCAAATGCTTTCTGAGGAAGAGTAAGTTACCAGCTTATTCATTACAGTGCTTATTCATTACACTGAGCAGAAATCTGTCTAACTTTTCCTGTCTAGCTGTGTCTTTCTGTAGCTCTCAATCTCTAGTTATTCTTATACTAGAAAGCATAAAATACACATAAAATTTCAAAAAATGTGTATCTCCCTTACTATCTATCTCTTCTTCTTCATAGTCTCCAAAAGTTGGCATTCTTCAGGGCCCAGTCCTTGGCCACCTTCTACATTTATTCTCTGTGTGATCTCATGTGGTTCTTTGTTTAAATGCCACCTATTCTCTGAAATTTATTTCTTTGCCTTAGTTTCTCCTATGTATTCAAGGCTCAGATGTATGTCTACCTAATCATCGTCTCTATTTGAAGTCTAATAAACATTAAAAACATAACATGTTTGCAATAGAACTCCTTGAACTCTTCCCAAAACCTGTTCTGTCTCCCTCTTCATCTCCATACATGGGCCACCCAGTTACTCATGCTGAAAACTGGAAGTCACCTTTGACTTTACTCTTTTTTTGCTAACCCACATCCAGCCCATCAGTAAGGCTTATATGCCCTCCTTTTAATATACACCCCAAATCCCTCTTTACTACTGCCACTTCAGCCCTACTACTTGAATATAACTTACAATCACCATCGTAAGTTCCTAGATGATAATAATAACTGGCCTTCCTCATCTCCTTATACCCATGTACCTCTTCAGTCAGTTTTCCATGTAGGGGCAAAAATGCTTTTTTAAATATTTTAAATGTTAAACAGTTCCTGTCATTCCCCTGTTCAGAACTCTTCAGTGGCTACTCGTCACACTCAGTATTAAAGCCCGTCTCACAGTGCCCTGCTGGACCCTGCGTGTTCTGCTTGCTCACCTTATCACCTACCAGTATGTCTCACTTTGTTCTAGCCACAGTTGCCCTCTTGCTGTTCCTTAAATTCTCCACTTCATTTGGAATTACCTAAATCCCTCCTACTCCCCTACCCTATACCATTATTCTAACCAGCCCAGCCTCTAGCTTGGTAATTTGCACCTTTATTATTCCAAGTTTCTGTTATTTGAATTGCTTTCAAGTGTAAGAGGGACTAGAGACTCAGAGCTGTAGAAAGAGGTAGCTGGATCATTGGAGAGGAACTACAGAGTGAATGATTTCTGCTCCATTTAAAAGCACTATAATAATGGTAACAATTACATCTGTGTAAAAATAGGCTGGGCCTCTGCACAGAACAGTGAGTTCTCCATCGCTGATAGTGTACAAGTTGAGGTGATCACCTCGTGGGATGTGGCGGAGGAAGACTGTGCGGGAGTGGAGAGGGGGACAGTTGATTTCGAAGGTCTTCCCAGTGCTGAGATTGTACCTTTTAGAATCTTCTTTTTTGTCAGTGCAACTATTGTTAGTGTCTCCTCTGATTTAATCCTCCTGTATTTTTATTAGGAAACTTGCACCAATTTCACCAATGAAGTATAAAGCACTTCTAGGTAAAGTTCCCAATACTTGAGTTGACTGAAAGAAGAGCTTAACTGATACCAAGGTTGATAGCAGTCAGATTGGCCCTCATCTAAGTCCTCATCTAAGGAATTTATTACTTTGAGGCCTTTTTGCTCTCTCATTTTTTTAATCGTTGTTCAGTTATAGTTGTCCCCATTATTCTCCTCTGCCCTACCCACCCCAACCTCCCACCTTCAGTCCTTTCCCCACCCCATTGTCTTTGTCCATGGGTCCTTTATACGTGTTCCTTGATGACCCTTCCCTTTCTTTCCACTATTATTCCCCCCACTCTGGTTGCTGTCAGTTTGTTCTTTTATTTCCATGTCTCCAGTTCTATTTTGCTTGCTCATTTTGTTGATTAGGTTCAACTTATAGGTGAGATCATACGGTATTTTTCTTTTACCACCTGGCTCATTTCACTTAGCATAATGCTCTCCAGATCCATCCATGCTCTCACAAAGAGTAGGAGTTCCCTCTTTCTTTCTGCTGCATAGTATTCCATCGTGTAAATGTACCGTAGTTTTTTGATCCACTCATTTACTGATGGTCACTTAGGTTGCTGCCAGCACTTGGCTATTATAAATTGTGCTGCTATGAACATTGGAGTGCATAGGTTCTTTTGAATTGGCCTTTCAGGATTTTTAGGATATAGTCCCAGCAGTGGAATTGCTGGGTCAAAAGGAAGTTCCATTTTTAGTTTTCTGAGGAAATTCCATAGTGTTTTCCACAGTGGCTGCACCAGTCTGCATTCCTACCAACAGTGCACTAGGGTTCCCTTTTCTCCACAACCTCACCAGCACTTGTTGTTTCTTGATTTGGTTGTGATGGCCATTCTGACCAGTGTGAAGTGGTATCTCATTCTGGTTTTAATTTGCATCTTTCTGATGGCTAGAGATACTGAGCATCCCTTCTTATGTCTCTGGGCCCTCTGTATGCCCTTCTTGGAGAAGTGTCTATTCAGGTCCTTTGCCCATTTTTTTAAATTGGGTTGTTTATATTCCTACAGTGGA